CAAGGATCCATCATGTGTGCCCCGAGGTGGCTGTTTCCTTTCCTCTTTGGATAGATACCACATGATCAAACAACCGTTTCTGCACAGAAAAATATCCTGTTCAGCACCCTAGCTCGCAGGGATCCCCTCAAACTGCAGGGGAGGAGAGCATGTCTGTTACTCCAGCGGCCTGTCTGTTACTCCAGCGGCCTGTCTGTTACTCCAGCGGCCTCCTAAACCCTAAACCCTAAACCCTATTATTATTATTATTATTATGTGAGTTTATTAGAATGCTAGAATGTTGCTCGGCCTCGTTGTGGGCTTGTGCAATTGGATCCTAGTCTAAAGAGGCGCTCGAGCACTGGGAGTACACGGCCTACAATGCGAACCCTGCTTCTGAGGCGTCTTTCTACTCTCTACTTCTGCTGTCTTCTCTTGGCTTCCTCAGCCTCAGTCAGGAGAGTTGCCTCTCCTCACCTTGGCCTTCGGTCACCACCTACTCTACCTCCATTCAGCTTCCTCAGCCTCAGTCAGAAGAGTTGCCTCTCCTCACCTTGGCCTTCGGTCGCCACCTACTCGTCCTCCATTCAGCTTCCTCAGCTTCAGTCAGGAGAGTTGCCTCTCCTCACCTTGGCCTTCGGTCGCCTCCTACCTTCTCTCCTTACCTTGGGCTCAGCTCAAGCTCGGTACGGGCTCGCCCCGTCTTCTTCCTCGCCCTCGCCTTGCTCTTCCTCCATGTCTTCCTCTTCTTCGTCATCTTCCCTCATCTCCACTCGCAGTCGGTCCTTCTTGTCCACCTTCAGCGAGCAGGCCAGCACATGCATCTCTGCGAATTTACTCAGTGCTATGAACAGGAGGCTAAGAGATCGACGCTCTATGTCGTCGCTCTCCGCCTCCTGCTCAAGCTCAGCAGCTGCCGTTGCCCGTGGCGAGAACGCGCTGCCCCTCCTTGCCTTCTTGCTCTCTCCTTGCACGCGAGTCCAGCGCTTGCTCTGCAGCCACTTCCCCAGCCTCTCCTTGAGCGCGTTGCGTCCCACTCCCTGCTCCTCTGGCATCTTCGCCCACTCTCCCAGCGCCATGAACTCCAGGCTCCCCGGAGAGTAGAACGTGTCGTGGAGGTTGCCAACGGCCTTGTCCAGGACCAGCTTGATCGGCTCGCTCGTCCCTGCCTCGTTCAAAGAAGCTGCATCTTCGATGACTGCTGACAGCTCGCTGACGAGCTGCATGTCCTCTTGGCTTGACGGAGATGCTGCCTCCATTGTGATCCTCTCCAGGTCTGTAAACTCCAGCCACTCTCCCTCGCTCTCCTCCTGTCGCTGCGCTGCGTCGCTGGTGCCCCGCTGACCAGCCGCCTCAGAGTCAGGCTCCTTGTCGAAGCCGACTGCTTCGAGCTTGGTTGCTGCGCCTTCGAGATAGAAGGGCAGCTCCTTCATCATGCGTCGAGCATCCTCCGTGGAGCCGAGGAGGATGCATAGCTTGGACCCGTTCCAGGACTTGGTGTTCAAATCCTCCTCCATGTCGATGCCTTCAACGTTGATCTCGAGCCTGTTAGCGATCTCCAACAAGACTCTCTTGACTCTTGCGATAGACGTGTTGCCGCCGTTGCACAGCCCCTCCATCTCCTTCCTCGTGAAGCGACCAGATGCCGCCGTCGACTTGATGATGATCTTGATCTCCTTGCCGTCCTTGCCGCCTGCCTTCTTCTGCATCCTTGATGCCTTCTTCAACTTATTTCTGGACACAAAGCGATCGGCTGTCAACTCGACTGCGAGCGCCTCTCTGATCTTCGGGTCCTCGCTGAACAGAGTCAGGTGTACTCCCTCCATCGCTTCGCTCTCTCGGAAAGCTCGAAATGCTGTATCATTCGCCTCTGGGCAGCTCGAGGAGACGATCCACTCCACCTCCCTCTGTCTCCAGATGACGTTGGCCCCTACAGCGATGAAGCCTTTCTGACCTAAGCCTTTGTGGACTTGCTGTCCTGGCGCCCCAGCGACCAGCATGCCTGCCAGCGGCTGGAGTTGGACCGCTGCAAGGGACTGGCGCAGCAGCTGATAGCGATAGACGGCAGCTATCTCAGCCGTTGTCATGCCGCCCAAGGTTAGCAGGTGAGTCAGCTCTGCCAAGCTGCCCCCTTTGCCCCAGGGTCCTCTCTTGGCTCGAATCTTGAAAGATCTATCGTGCACGATGCTCACATGTACAGCTGTGAACTTGCGACCATCGATCGCGAAGTCCTCTCTTCCCTGCCAGAGCTTCTCCGCTTGTGCATTGCGGAGGAAGGAAACAGTCACCGGGATCTCCTCAGCACTCGCTATCTCGGGTCTATACGGAGCCTTCCACATGATTGCTTTACTCTCTTGCACTGAGTCTACGATCAGTCCGATCTCTTCAAATTTCTTCTTCAGCTTTTCTTCATGGTTGACATACACCGAGGAGATGCCCAGGAGAGTCATGGAGATGAAGGAAGTCACCTCGTTGCCTGCTGAGGCGGTGTATGTCTCGACCTTCTCCTTCTTGGCTTCTTCAATCTGCTGCATAAACCACTCTCTGGATGCGTCACTCCATCCAGTCATCGCTTCTTGCAGAAGCTCACGTCGTGCCTGCTGACATGTCGAGCGGATGGCTTCTGCGATAGCGTCGGGGGTGCATCCCTCCACAGCCTTGCAAGCCTGGGCTGTCCTGCTGTTCGGATAACGCTTCGCGAAGCTCTTCACCCTCTCGACGAGATCAGCTTCGAGGACAGAGGCATCCACAAGTCCGCTCTGCGTGTATTGGCATGATCTCCGATACAGCAGGTTGCGAACATTTTCATCATACTGAAGAACCATACTTAGAAAGCTATTTGAAGTATACAAACCTCTCGCTTGCAGCTTCCTTGGCGCCCTGGCGGCTTCCCCTACACCACGCGTGCAGCCATGGTGCCTGAAATAACCGGCGCTGCCTAAACCCTAAACCCTAAACCCTAAACCCTAAACCCTACACCCTAAACCCTAAACCCTATTATTATTATTATTATTATGTGAGTTTATTAGAATGCTAGGATGTTGCTCGGCCTCGTTGTGGGCTTTTGCAATTTGATCCTAGTCTAAAGAGGCGCTCGAGCACTGGGAGTACACGGCCTACAATGCGAACCCTGCTTCTGAGGCGCTAAACCCTAAACCCTAAACCCCGGCCCTTAGTAAGAGCAGCCGGCCCTTAGTAAGAGAGCCGGCCCTTAGTAAGACAGCCGGCCCTTAGTAAGAGAGCCGGCCCTTAGTAAGAGCAGCCGGCCCTTAGTAAGAGCAGCCGGCCCTTAGTAAGAGCAGCCGGCCCTCAGTAAGAGCAGCCGGCCCTTAGTAAGAGCAGAGCCGGCCCTTAGTAAGAGCAGCCGGCCCTTAGTAAGAGCAGCCGGCCCTTAGTAAGAGCAGCCGGCCCTTAGTAAGAGCAGCCGGCCCTTAGTAAGAGCAGCCGGCCCTTAGTAAGAGCAGCCGGCCCTTAGTAAGAGCAGCCGGCCCTTAGTAAGAGCAGCCGGCCCTTAGTAAGAGCAGCCGGCCCTTAGTAAGAGCAGCCGGCCCTTAGTAAGAGCAGCCGGCCCTTAGTAAGAGCAGCCGGCCCTTAGTAAGAGCAGCCGGCCCTTAGTAAGAGCAGCCGGCCCTTAGTAAGAGAGCCGGCCCTTAGTAAGAGCAGCCGGCCCTTAGTAAGAGCAGCCGGCCCTTAGTAAGAGCAGCCGGCCCTTAGTAAGAGCAGCCGGCCCTTAGTACTACTTGAAGAGCAGCCGGCCCTTAGTAAGAGCAGCCGGCCCTTAGTAAGAGCAGCCGGCCCTTAGTAAGAGCAGCCGGCCCTTAGTAAGAGCAGCCGGCCCTTAGTAAGAGCAGCCGGCCCTTAGTAAGAGCAGCCGGCCCTTAGTAAGAGCAGCCGGCCCTTAGTAAGAGCATGCGGCCCTGCGGCGCGTAGGGAGAGCGCAAGGGGACCGGTGGAAGCTGCGAGCAAGAGGTTCGTGCAGTTCAAACAGCTTTCTAAGCATGGTACTACAGTATGATGAGAGCGTTCGCAACCTGCTGTATCGGAGATCTTGCCAATACACGCAGGGTGAGCGCTCTGGAGGCCACGTCGAGGAGGCCGCCGACCTCGTCGAGAAGGTGAAGAACTTCACCAAGCGTTATCCGAATAGTCGGACAGCTCAGGCTTGCAGAGCTGAGGGGGGATGCTATCGCTGAAGCCATCCGCTCGACATGTCGGCAGGCGAGACGCGACCTGTTTGAAGACTCTCTGAGCGAATGGAGCTCAGAGTCGAGAGCATGGTTTACTCAACAGATGGAGGAGGCCAAGAAGCAGAATGTCGAGACATACATCGGCACCGAAGGCACCGAGGGGACCTCCTTCATCTCCATGACTCTCCTAGGGATTTCCTCGATGTTTGTTCGACAAGAAGAAAAGTTGAAATCGAAGCTTATGGAGCTAGGTCTCATGGTAGACTCAGTCGATGGAGTCGACAAGGCCATCATGTGGAAAGCACCTTACAGACCTGAGATAGCACGAGCAGACGACATCTCAGTCACCGTCTAAACCCTAAACCCTACACCCTAAACCCTAAACCCTATTATTATTATTATTATGTGAGTTTATTAGAATGCTAGAATGTTGCTCGGCCTCCTTGTGGGCTTTTGCAATTTGATCCTAGTCTAAAGAGGCGCGCGAGCACTGGGAGTACACGGCCTACAATGCGAACCCTGCTTCTGAGGTCTCTTTCTACTTTCTACTTCTGCTGTCTTCTCTTGGCTTCCTCAGCCTCAGTCAGGAGAGTTGCCTCTCCTCACCTTGGCCTTCGGTCGCCACCTACTCTACCTCCATTTAGCTTCCTCATCCTCAGTCAGGAGAGTTGCCTCTCCTCACCTTGGCCTTCGGTCGCCACCTACTCCTCCTCCATTCAGCTTCCTCAGCCTCAGTCAGGAGAGTTGCCTCTCCTCACCTTGGCCTTCGGTCGCCTCCTACCTCCTCTCCTTACCTTGAGCTCAGCTCAAGCTCGGTGCGGGCTCGCCCCGTCTTCTTCCTCGCCCTCGCCTTGCTCTTCCTCCATTTCTTCCTCTTCTTCGTCATCTTCCCTCATCTCCACCCGCAGTCGGTCCTTCTTGTCCACCTTCAGCGAGCAGGCCAGCACATGCATCTCTGCGAATTTACTCAGTGCTATGAACAGGAAGCTAAGAGATCGACGCTCTATGTCGTCGCTCTCCGCCTCCTGCTCAAGCTCAGCAGCTGCCGTTGCCCGTGGCGAGAACGCGCTGCCCCTCCTTGCCTTCTTGCTCTCTCCTTGCACGCGAGTCCAGCGCTTGCTCTGCAGCCACTTCCCCAGCTTCTCCTTGAGAACGTTGCGTCCCACTCCCTGCTCCTCTGGCATCTTCGCCCACTCTCCCAGCGCCATGAACTCCAGGCTCCCCGGAGAGTAGAACGTGTCGTGGAGGTTGCCAACGGCCTTGTCCAGGACCAGCTTGATCGGCTCGCTCGTCCCCGCCTCGTTCAAAGAAGCTGCATCTTCGATGACTGCTGACAGCTCGCTGACGAGCTGCATGTCCTCTTGGCTTGACGGAGATGCTGCCTCCATTGTGATCCTCTCCAGGTCTGTAAACTCCAGCCACTCTCCCTCGCTCTCCTCCTGTCGCTGCGCTGCGTCGCTGGTGCCCCGCTGACCAGCCGCCTCAGGCTCCTTGTCGAAGCCGACTGCTTCGAGCTTGGTTGCTGCGCCTTCGAGATAGAAGGGCAGCTCCTTCATCATGCGTCGAGCATCCTCCGTGGAGCCGAGGAGGATGCATAGCTTGGACCCATTCCAGGACTTGGTGTTCAAATCCTCCTCCATGTCGATGCCTTCAACTTTGATCTCGAGCCTGTTAGCGATCTCCAACAAGACTCTCTTGACTCTTGCGATGGACGTGTTGCCGCCGTTGCACAGCCCCTCGGCATCTCCTTCCTCGTGAAGCGACCAGATGCCGCCGTCGACTTGATGATGATCTTGATCTCCTTGCCGTCCTTGCCGCCTACCTTCTTCTGCATCCTTGATGCCTTCTTCAACTTATTTCTGGACACAAAGCGATCAGCTGTCAACTCGACTGCGAGCGCCTCTCTGATCTTCGGGTCCTCGCTGAACAGAGTCAGGTGTACTCCCTCCATCGCTTCGCTCTCTCGGAAAGCTCGAAATGCTGTATCATTCGCCTCTGGGCAGCTCGAGGAGACGATCCACTCCACCTCCCTCTGTCTCCAGATGACGTTGGCCCCTACAGCGACGAAGCCTTTCTGACCTAAGCCTTTGTGGACTTGCTGTCCTGGCGGCCCCAGCGACCAGCATGCCTGCCAGCGGCTGGAGTTGGACCGCTGCAAGGGACTGGCCGGGCGCAGCAGCTGATAAGGATAGACGGCAGCTATCTCAGCCGTTGTCATGCCGCCCAAGGTTAGCAGGTGGGTCAGCTCTGCCAAGCTGCCCCCTTTGCCCCAGGGTCCTCTCTTGGCTCGAATCTTGAAAGATCGATCGTGCACGATGCTCACATGTACAGCTGTGAACTTGCGACCATCGATCGCGAAGTCCTCTCTTCCCTGCCAGAGCTTCTCCGCTTGTGCATTGCGGAGGAAGGAAACAGTCACCGGGATCTCATCAGCTCTCGCTATCTCGGGTCTATACGGAGCCTTCCACATGATTGCTTTACTCTCTTGCACTGAGTCTACGATCAGTCCGATCTCTTCGAATTTCTTCTTCAGCTTCTCTTCATGGTTGACATACACCGAGGAGATGCCCAGGAGAGTCATGGAGATGAAGGAAGTCACCTCGTTGCCTGCTGAGGCGGTGTATGTCTCGACCTTCTCCTTCTTGGCTTCTTCAATCTGCTTCATGAACCACTCTCTGGATGCGTCACTCCATCCAGTCATCGCTTCTTGTAGAAGCTCACGTCGTGCCTGCTGACATGTCGAGCGGATGGCTTCTGCGATAGCGTCGGGGGTGCATCCCTCCACAGCCTTGCAAGCCTGGGCTGTCCTGCTGTTCGGATAACGCTTCGCGAAGCTCTTCACCCTCTCGACGAGATCAGCTTCGAGGACAGACTCGGGCATCCACAAGTCCGCTCTGCGTGTATTGGCATGATCTCCGATACAGCAGGTTGCGAACATTTTCATCATACTGAAGAACCATACTTAGAAAGCTATTTGAAGTATACAAACCTCTCGCTTGCAGCTTCCTTGGCGCCCTGGCGGCTTCCCCTACACCTGGCAGGGAGCCATGCTGCCGAAAATAACGGCGCTAAACCCTAAACCCTAAACCCTAAACGCTCCTAAACCCTAAACCCTAAACCCTCGCACCATGGGCAGCAGGGGAATATCGTCTTCCTAAACCCTAAACCCTTTTACCCTAAAGCTGTTTGAACTATACCAAATTCTTGCTCGCAGCTTCCTGACGACCGCCCGGCCCCTTGCCAGTGCCAAGTTGCGCTCCTCCTAGTGGCATGCTTCGGGAAAGCCGGCCTCTATTATCTAAACTGGCCCTAAACCCTAAACCAGGTTGTCAGTGCAACTCTGCCGGATCGGACAGCCGAAAGACAGCAAATCCTGTGGTAGGTCTGCCTACCGCGGCGGCTGCCCGGCTGCCCTTAGGTGGTTCTCTACCCCACCCTCCCTCGTGACTGCGGCAAGGTCATCACCGAGACCCCCCGGTTGAGCCCCAGAATGACCCACCGGCCCAACCCCCGACCAGTCCGACCACCGTATAAGCCTGAGGGACACAGCCACGCACCCCTAGTGGGCATTCCGGGTGGGGCGAGGCTTGTTTGCCTCTCCGCGGTCCCAAGGTTGCGACAGACAGTATGCCCGACATGTGCTTCAACAGCGTGGTGATGTGTGCCGCAAGTGTTGTGAGAGCGCGATCCTTTGAAACATTTCTCAAGGGGCTTCAACCGGACGACGACATAGGAGTGTTTGGGCACTTCTTGCCACGTCCAGCTTCGGCTGATTGGCACCTTTGGAGCATTCTGAACTGGGGCACCAAGTGGGATGTCTCAGATCCCAAATGGGAACGCACCAACCTTTCCTTTCATCTGAAGTTTGAAACTGCATGGTCCCCACCAGTTCCCTTCTACAAATTCCTTGAATCTGCTGCTGGCGGTGACTGGATAATTGATGCCACTTTTCATTCTTCTGCGGAGCAGGTTGTTGGACGCTACGCCTGTGGATCCCAGAAGACCTGGAAATACACTTTCCAGGACCCGGCGTGGCGGGTCAGACTGCCTAACAAGCTTGTTGACGAAGCTGAGCTAGACCGCGAGTATGCAGAATGGCTCGAATGGAAAGAGAGCTGTAGAAAGCAAGATCATGTCAGTAGACGTCTGTCATTGGAGTAAATATAGCCAGAATACAACTCGATATCTGCTGAGACATCAGTGACGAGTACAAGCGCTCACATTGCATCTCGCGTTCATAGAAGCAGCCTGCTCTGTAGACATCTGTGAGCACGTAACAAGAAAGAGTATGGGTGAAAGAGCTGGGCAGCAGCTTGTCCTGCTGGAATGCCACACCTGTGCTGATTGTGTGTTTGTTGAGTTGCACTATGACAGTAGATCTCAAGTCACAATTGGTTCCAATACACGACACTAGGTTAGATCTCAGCAAGAGGCACAGGTTCGAAGGTGGCGTACACGATGTAGCTGCCCGTTCACATGTTGCAACAGGTTGACGCTGACGGCGAGGTCCGCGACATCTGTGAACAGGTGCTCCGTATAATGTCATAAGACATGTTGCGGGCTAATGACCAGCTAACTCGGAGCATCCACGTTTTGTTTCTGAGTATCACATATGCTCAAGTCAAGCAATCGCAGAGAGATCAAACAGTTGTGTGCATGCAGCGAGCACCTCTATGCCAGCTCAAGACGGTCAAGGTTAAGGCTGTCACGGGCTGATGAAGAAGTTTATCACAGGCGAGATGATGAGGCTATTGGAGCCGCGATGTGCTCTACATGGCTAGATAAACTGATCCAGCGCAATCAAATCTTGAGCCGGCCCGCACGCCTCGAGTCTGTCGGGGTAGCTGGTGGCATACACGAGAACAGATGGACTCGGAAGGTGCTGCCTCTCGCTGCTCTCAGCTCAGCCTTGCCCACTCACTGGATCGGATCGAATGGCGGCAGCGCAAGAAGCCTTGTCCTCGCACCCTCGTCAGGCTCTGAGGACCCTCACCTCCCCGGCTGCAATTTTCCTTGGAACTACAAAACACGACGTGCGGTGATTTATGCTGGGCAGAGGGGTTTGACAGGTCGAGGCGGAGGAGAGTCGGGAAGTACTCGGGCTGCGGTAGCTGGCCGTTAGTGCTGCATTGTGTCTTTTGCTTGTGCGTGAGTAGCTTGTGGTCCGTCGTTACAGTCGAGTATTACAAGGCCAAGAGAAGTGGTATCACCCCCCCCCTGTCTGAATAGCAGCTGATGTCAGAGAGTACACACCGTCAAGTAGTTTCTTTGTACCCCGCATTTTGCTTTGGCTATTGCATTTGAAAGATATGATGTTGTATGTTTCTCACATATAAACACCGCGCAGTAAGATTGTGACACGTGTTCAAGAGATGGATCCAGTACAAGAAAGCCTTTGTACACTCGCGCAACAACAACAACACAGAGTGCTAAATCGAATGTCGTTCTCCCCCAATGTGGATTTTGCATAGAGAGAGTTGCACTTTTTGTTTCATGTTTCTGTTTTATACATAACTGCCTGTCATCTGACACCCTTTCTCAAAGTCATCGTTGATTGGGTTTACAAGTTTGACTGGCGTTTGGAAAGCTGAGAATGTCGAGAGCTGAAAATCTTCGTTACGGTTCAATTTTGATGCCTTGCGGTTTATCTGGTCCCAAGTGGATTGTTAAATTGTTTCGCATTCGCCGGAGATTCGCTTGCTTCCTTGCAAGTTCTGCTTATCCTTCTCGCCACTTTGCCGTTCCATCTCTTACCTCCATCTTATCCTGGATGGGCGTTGTTGTCTACGTGTCTCCTACTTGGCGGCTAAGAAGTTCCTACTGCTCAGTCATGGGAGGCTACCTGAGTTAGTTTCCTTTCCCAGTTGAACTGAATCTGACCCGAGCAGTCGGAAATTCGGCTCATGCTCAAGTCGGCTCATGATTCCAGGCCGTCCTTCAATTCAATCGTGCCGCCATGCGGATAGTGTCAGCCAGAGGGCAGTAAGAGCGAGCCCAACCCGTACTGTGGACACTAGGCGTCGATTTTCCGATCAGCTTCGTGCAAATGATGCAAAACAACTCCTACGAATCCCTATTGGCAAGATCAAGCCTATTCAAGCAGTTGAGGTGCTTATTGGATTATCCTTTACGGGCCGTGCACTAAAGAGGATTCCAAACCAGTTTTCAAATAATACCAGAAAGCGAAGATTTTCCGTTCAGAAACATCATCATCATTCCATCAACAAAGCGTTTCATCGCACCCATACAATTCACAACAATGCATTCTATGAAAGCGGCGATCAGGTGATTTCACACTTATTATTATCGGTACATTAACTCTTCAAAGCAAATCTGCACAGAATCATGTTGCGAGGTTGGTCAACACCTTTGAAAGGTTCCGTTGAGACATGAGCGAGAGAGTCAAGCCAGGGCCTTTGACCAGTCCAGTATAATGTACGCCTGCTTATTAGATGAGAAGCTTCTCGATCTGATCTTTGAGCGTCTGGATCTGACCCTTGAGCTGAACATAACCACAGTTACAAGCATGTCGACACTCAAGCAAGTCACACCTGTGAACCCTCGTTGGTGGTGACAGAGGCTGCAATCACAGGACGAGACACCCCGCAAGCGCGACCAAGAGCTTGCTTAGAGGGAACAAACACGTAGGGTACGTTCTTGTCCTGCCATCGATTTAGACTTACCAAAGAACAAAGTCAAGCATTCTCACCTCGCAAAGTAGGGGAAGATGGAGAAGAATCTCAAGGGGCTCAGTGTCAGCAGCCATGACGATGAACTCTGAGATGCCTCTGTTGAGAGTCTTGGTGGCCTCGTTCGCTCCCTTCTTGAGCTGCTTGTAATTGCTTGCTTGCTGCACAAGCTCCAGAATGGTAACAGAAAGGTCTGGAGGAGCAAGGGGGAAAGCCTTGGGATTGACTTCACTCTAACATTCAGTGTTAGTGTCAAGATACGCGAGTGACACACAGCACATGCGTGAGGGATACATAGAGTCCATGTGAGGGGTACATAGACTCGCCACATGCAAGGGATCTGGAGAATGTTCGTGTGTTCACAGGCGAATAAAAGCAAGCAATCAAGATCAAAATGCAAGGTAACAAAGTAGAGACAGCAAGAATGACATGGATGTCATCAACACCAATGGCCCCCACAGATATGATGCAAGGTCCACGTGAAAGTGATTACCATGGTGATGGTAGATTATTGGAACGGAGGTTATGGAACTCGATGCGTAGAAATGAGCAAGAAAGGCCGCAGCTTCACCGACAGGTAAGCCTCGGCTGCGACCAGGAGACAGGAAGTGGAAGTGACGAGGGAGCGACCGCGGGGGCTGCTGATGGAGGGAGGAGGAGGAGGGCTTCAAGCGACAGGGCACGAGGAAGAGGATCTCAGGGGCACGTGCAGAAAAGCCTATGAACTAAAATTATCAAAACTAAAGACAATCTAAACCTACAATCTGAACTAAACTGAAAAAATTGTGAGTGGGGATGAGGGCAGCGACTCTTCGATCCATTGGTAAAATATAAAAAATGGAAGGAGAGGCGAGTGGAGGGATAATGGTTGTAAGAGTTTCTGTGATGGAGGGATAATGGTTGTAAGAGTTTCTGTGATAGAGGGATAATGGTTGTAAGAGTTTCTGTGATGGAGGGAGCAAGGTTGATGGAAGACGCATTGTTCGACCAGTGAGAGCAAGGGAGGGGGAGCCCAACGAAACGACAAAGCAAACAAACTGATACTCATTGTATACAGAAACACATTTGGAGGGTTCTGAGCGTGGGGAGTGTCATGTTGCGGGCGAACAGCATGCCCTTGAGATCAAAAGTTGCAGCCTCTATCCTTTCGGTAACAACAACAGCAACAGCTTTAGGGAGGTAGTGAACTTTGTGCAGATCATCGCACTGGTCTCATGGGTGGGAATTCTCTATGGAAACCCAGGTGAGACCACGTGCCTTTCTTGTCTTCATCGCTTTTCTTGTCTTCATCGTCTGTCCTATCTTCATCACTCCAACTCCCCCCCCCTGCAGGTCGCCCGGAAGCTGTGGTAGACCTAGAGACGGGGGATGCATTCCTAGACATGATGGACAAGAACTTTGACGATGACGACAAGGTAGACTGAGCATGACTCGCAACCTCGTTGACAAGACATTAGAAGGTTCAGCTCAAGGCATCGAAAGTGAAGGCGAACCACGTGAGCCAGCAATGGATAACTGAAACTTTGGCTGACATCAGAAACACAGCAACAGCTTAGCTGGCAGCACACCCCTGAATCAGCGACATGGCCGTCAGAGAAGAATCCTCTCAAGGACTGGGACGAAGACTTCGAGGGAGTAGAGGTGTTTCCTGCCCCCTTCCTTCCCCAACTCTAAAATGATATCGACCTAAACCTTAAGTGTTCCTCTCTTGCCTCTCCGCCATTTTCCATCTGCTAATTCTCACCCGTCTCCCTCACTTCCTACTTTCCTCACAGGCTGGTTTCCCGACGACGACAGGAAGCGCTGATTGGCCCTTCACCAAGAACCCTCTCCTCGGGTTCGATGCTGAGTTCGGGGCCGAGCACAAGGCGAACCCCTGGAAGGGCTGGCAGGTAACCCTCCTCTTGTTCCCTCCTTCCCTCCCTCACCCCCACCCCTCATCCTGTTGTTCCCTCTCCTCTCCCTCTTCTCCATCTTCCCTTCCCTCTCTCCTACTGACTTGACGTGCAGGGACCAGAAACAACGTGTATGCTAACCTGCCTGCTCAGTATCCGTAAGCCTCTACTACTTGGCTGAGAGGATTCTCCTCATGCTCGTTTCTCTAATGTCTCGTGCAGGTTTCTCGAGACCAAACTTTTAGGATCAAGTCCAAACTACCCGGTGAGCTCTGGCATGCCGAATGTCCATGCAGCGACGATGTTGATACGCTCGCCTCAGGACTGGCAGAATTCAGGAGGGTTGAAGGAGAACAATGTGTTTGATAGCTATACAACAGAGGGAACAGCGACTGGATGGCCGTCCTATTAAGATTGGGAGCAGCGCTAACAGTTTCTGGCAATCTTGTTCTTGGCAACATGGCTGCTTGCTAGACAATCTCGTTTTAACAAATTCTTGCCTGCCATCGCTCCAAGACTTTCTTCTGGCAGAAATATTCCGATCGTTGACTCCGAGGGATTTTATTTGCCTCCATCATTGTATTAAAGCATGAATCTGTTATGCAGAGATTGACTCATTTCCCTTGTAAAGCATGAATCTGTGACCTCACACGAGCTGACCCTGACCCCTCAGCTCGCCTGCTGTGATTCCTCACTGAATGTCTGGTGCGTGCAAACTCCGCAGCAAATGGCAGCTGGAAGGACTCAGACTTGTCAGCACAGCAAGACAGACTCACCAAGCACGATGGCGAAGATGCTGGCAGCTACGAAGATGATGCCGCCCGTTTCGTTCTGCGACGCGCACGTCCAGTGGGTGTGGCCCTTCACCATGCAGCTGCCGTACGTCATTGCGCAGAATCGTTGGGAAGAGCTCACGAGATCCCGAAGGCGAGCAAGACGACACTCCCAGCACCCGAGGACAAGCAGCAGATGAGCGCTGAACAATGTCAGCGAGGGAGGAGGCAAGGAGAATCAGATCACAGCAGTAGTAAGACTTGGAGTGTGGTCTCTTTCGACGAGGCTCGAGGACAATGCTGGCAGAATTGATCGAATCATCTGCTATAGCCCCGGGATTGTCTTGTTTCGCCTTCTCAGTGTCAGAGCTTGACCACAGGAATGACAATCACCATCTTGGTGAAGATGGAATAGACGATCAATGGGAATGGAGGAAAGAGATAGAGATGACGATGATGTTGAGCAACAACTTCATACCCTGGAAGGTACAACATCCAAGAGAATTTCACCGCCAGCATCACGTTTCTCTCTCCCTTTGTTTTTCCTGCAGAATGCTTTTTGAGTTTCCCAAGTTAGAGAAACAGTAATGCTATCTTGTACTTACTTCTTCTTGACTCGGTCCACGATCTCGATTTCTTGTTGAGGCTCAGCGGCATCGAAATCATCTTGATGAATGTTCTTCTTCTTCTTCTTCTTCTTCTTCTTCTTCTTCTTCTTCTTCTTCTCAAGATAAATACTTGTTACTGTTTGTTCGTCACCTACGTCTGATCAGCATCATATCCTTCAGCAGCTCCCGAGCTGCAAACGACCTGATAGACCAGCAGGTCCAGCAGATCGCGCTTTTTCCTCGTCTCTGCCATCTATAGCGTCTTCCTCGCGCTGGTGCTCATCGCCTTTGACGTGCGTTCGCATGTCATGCTCGCGGATTTGCTTCCAGCTGTCCGACAAGTCGGATCGCGCGGTCTGATCGCTGTCAGAGTCGTCGCTCGGCGATGTGTAGTGACGCTGGTGGGCGACGGGGAGCTCGTCTTCGACCAGGCAGTGGATCCGCTGCTTCACCTGAGACTGGTTCTGAATGCGAGCCTCCTGCTTCTCGACGAGGTGTCAGCAACGAGTCGACGTCAGAGTCGATGCGTGTACCTTGAAGCTGTGCTCGAATATCTGACCAGAGATGGTCGAGAAGAGCGTCGCCTCTACCTCTACCGCCTGTCTCACCACATGCGGCCTTGCACTGCCCTCGTCTTCGTCCATCTCTGGGGCAAGCACATCATCTTGGGATCGAAGCGGCGGCAGGAGAGGAGGATCGTGACTCGACGAGACTCCTAGACGCACATCCTCTTCAAGCTCAGCCTGAAATCGTTTTAAGCATGAGACGAAGCCATTTTCACTCACCGTTCTATCCGAATCGCTGTCTCCTGCATTGCTGGGATTCTCGTTGGTCTGCAGGTGAGTCAGCCCAGCAACGACGCCTATGATGATCATCGCACAAGAGCATTCGAAGACTCTGAGACCGTCGCCTCCCTCCTCTGTTGCACATCTGCGTCGGAGCTCTCCCCATCGCTCGTCATGCCTCGCCTACTTGTCGGTTGCGCATTCAAGCGTTGAATACAACCTAGAAATGGGTTAAGAGGCTTCGATGCAAAGCCTCCCTCCTTGACTCCCTCCCTGCCTTGTTGACCCCCTGCCTCCCTGCTTGCATTCCTCCCTGCCTCCCCCCCTCTCT